GTTATGAAAGCTGGAGATGCGGTGTCTGTATACTCCGATATAGAAGGGAAGTGTAAAAGAGGAGCCAAAGAATTTCTGGGAACCAAAGTTTTTATTGGCAATGGGATTTCTGAATTGAGTCGCAATGAAATCTTCAGTTCAAGTGGCTCATTGAAGTAAGTCCATAGTAACTGCAATGCTGATTAAGCTGTACTTATTTCCTTTTTGAGGAGGGAAAAAGGTAGGAATTACATAAAATATAGACAATGTTGAAACCTTTTGTGTTGGACATATTTTATTTAAAAATGAAGCCTGGCCAACAAGTCCCCATTTAGGGCCCAGTCCCCATCTAGCTGCAGTGTCATAACACTCCTTTACCCCCATACAACCCAACTCTGAGCTCATCATACATCTGAAGGCCCTGCCCTGAGCCTCTCATACACCTACATCCCTAAACTCATGAATCCCCACTCCCCTGTCATAATACTCCTACATGTCTGTGAGTACAGTGTTTCATTTATGCTATTATTAATCATTATGTCAATTATCAATAATATTAAGTTGTATATTTTCAGTAACGCAAATGGGCATTCTTATACATCTCTTTGTAGATTACTTGTTCTGAATTTTGATGAAGTTTGACTCTTTGGTTTGAAAAGGTTGCCGACCCTTGATCTAGAACATCTCTGACAGGTGTTTGTCTAACCTGCTCTTAAAATTTCCAGATGGAGATTGCACGTCTGTGGGGAATTTAGTCTAGTGCTAAACCACCCTTGCAACTAGGGAATTTTTCTTGATGTCCAGCCTAAGCTGCTCTTGCTGCAATTTAAACTGTTTACCTCTTGTCCTAGCCTCAGAGGTTAAGAACAATAATTTTTCCTCCTTATAATAGTTTTCAAGCACATAAAAGTGCTCCTCTCTCCCTCCCTAACCTGTGCTGAGGGCTCCGGCCTCCCTGGTGCTGCGGGTAACAGCCGGATGGCAGTCATGCGGCCTTCCCAGCCTCCCCCGGAGAGTGGGACGGGATGGGAGCTGCAGGGACTCCCCTGGAGCTCCAGGGGGCGGGCCGGAAGCCACACCTCCTTCCCCCTTACAGGAGGGAGGGGGAGGAAGTCTGGGAGCTGCGAGGTCTGACCCAGCTCAACCCCACAGTGAGTTGTCTGGCCGGGGGCAGGCTGTCTGGCCAGGGGGTAGGAGCAGGAGTGGGTTGGGCACAGGCTGTCTGGGCAGGAGCGGGTTGGCCAGGAGTCTGGGGGCAGGGTGTCTGACCAGGGGACAGGAGTGGGCTGGGGGCAGGCTGTCTGCTTGGGGGGGGCTGAGTGAGGAGGGTGCAGGGTCTGAGAATTAGGGTTGGGGTCTGGGAATGGGGGCCACTTACTTGCTTTTGCACCACGTGTAACACGGCCTCCCGTTGCTCTTATTCACCAGGCAGGATTTGCAGGGAAAGCCCCGAGGGAAAGAAAATGGCAGCATTCACGGAGCCATTTTTGGTTCCTGATTCCCAGTAGGTCAGGGGAAGGAAAAGGGTGGTTCATGGAGCCAAAAATGACAGAGCTTGTTCCCTGCCCACCGGATCCATTGGAGAGGCTTGAGGTCTCTGGCTTGTTCCCTGCCCCACCTTGCAGGAAGCTGGTGCTGGTATTCCAATGTTGCGAGGGCTGTAATGATGGGAGACTGAGTTGGGGCTCCAGGAGAGCCATATCTGGCTCCCTAGTGAGCCATAGGTTGCCAACCCCTGGTCTAAATAATATTTAATCTTCTCACGAGTGCAGGAGACTGGACTAGATGATCTCTCGGTGTCTCTTCCAGTTCTATGATTCTCCTGCTTACATTCTTCTGTCAGCTGTTAGAGTTTCTTAAATTTGTATATTAATAAATAATAGTGAAATTTAGCATTTGTATAGTACTTCGTATTTTTAAGTTGTTGATCAGATAGCTGTTAATTAATCATCACATCACTGCAACAAAGTAAGTAAATTTATGGTGTGCCAGATTTTCACATGAAGAAACTATTCTTTCTTGGCTATTTTTAATGTACAAAATACAAAGGAATACTTTCTTTACAGTTCATCCAGCATTTATTAAAATGTGTTATAAAACTAGGGTTTATTTTAAGTTGATTTTTATTTTCACTTATGCAAAATTCTGTTCAGTTACAGAAGTATAATCCTGATAATCTAAGTGGAATGTGCCCCTTTATCATTAATATCTGCGTTGCTGGAAAAACAAAAAGCAGACCATGTAAGGTCAAAGTAGTATCAATTTAGCAACTCAGAAATGTACTGACTATCTTGTGAAAAGATGGTTTATTAAGAGGACAAAGGAATATTTCTGTGGCAAAATGTAGTTTTAGAACTTTAGATAGAGCAGATAATGTGGTGCAGTGGTTCTCAAACTGTGGGTCAGGACTCCAAAGTGGGTTGCGACCTGCTTGGAATGAGGTGGCCAGAGCTGACTTTGATTTGCTGGGGGCTGAGGCTGAAACCAAAGCCCCACTGCTCAGGGCCTAAACCAAAGCCCAAGGGCTTCTGCCCTAGGTAGCAGGATTCAGGTTGTAGACTGTCTGCCTGGGGCTAAAGCTGTGGAGCTTCAGCTTTGGCCTCTCTGCCCAGAGCAGTGGGACTCAGGCTTTGCCCCCCTCCCACCCTGGGGCAACAGGGCTTAGGTGGGCTCAAGCTTTGTTCTCTCGTCATGTACAGTAGACTTCCGATAATCCAGTACTTTTTAAACCTAGGTGGTGCCGTATTATCAGATTTGCTGGAGAATCGGGAGGTCCTGGTACAGCTTCATGGCTTAACAGCTACCTGGGACACAATCTCCCTCCCTCTTCCCTCTTCGCTTCTCCGTGCTGTAATCTGATCCTCCTCCCCCACCCCTCCCCTTCGCTGAAGCAAAACGCTCTTCTCCATACTATAACACGATCCCACGCCCCCCTCCTTTATCCCCCCAAGCTTATGCTCCATTGAGTTACAGCCAGCACAACCCAGCATGTTTTAATTAGCTTTTTAATCAGCTGGTCAGGAGCTCTTGGTATTTTGATGCCGGAGTATCTGGACTGCTGAACAGTTGGATGCCGGACTATCGGAGTTTTACTGTAGTAATTTTAGTTGTCACAAGGGAATTGCAGAGCAATGAAGTTTGAGAACCCTTGATTTAGTGGGAATGAGATTTAATGAGAGTTTCTTGCTTTTTAGAGGAGTAGGTGTAAGAATGACAGATCCGGTCTACCTTTGTCCTTCGTTGGATAATGTGCTGTCCAATTATTTATTTCTGCAGGTAAGTGCATTACTAAATAGGACTGCATCATTTTTAGAAGAACAAATATGTGTCAAGTGGTTCATTAGGTGTCTAATGGGTTTCCATTTTCAGAGTGCTTCCATAGCACTTAAATCAATACTTCTCTGAAGTTGTCTATAGAAAGAATATAGACCTGAAGAGAAGGGCTCTGTGCAAGCTTTAAAGTTTGACTCTTTAGCCAACATCAGTTGACTTAAAAAATCCTTACCCACCTTGATCCCCAATAGTTATAATAAAGCCTTTACAGATATCTATTTCAGATATACTGAAATTGGTTCTGTGACTCGAAAGAGATCAATTAAAAATGTATGTATAGACTGTTTTTGCCCAGCTTCAGT